GGGAGGGGTAGCATTAGGAGATATACCTAATATAAATGACGAGTTAATGGGTGCAGCACACCAACATGGCACATGTATACATAGATAACAAACCTGCACGTTGTGCACATGTACCCTAGAACTCAAAGTATAATAATAAAAACAAAAGAGTGGAAAAAAAAATATATCAAGAAGGCCTGCAGATATTTTTATGAGTAACAGTGATAAGATGAAAGCATTTATGTTTAATAAATATAATTTATTTATAAATAATGAAATAAATTTATTTATATATAAACTACTAACAAATATAATTTATTTATTTAATAATTAAATAGAAGAGGAACCATTTATGTTTATCTTTGACATAGAAAGTCAAGTTGTTGGAGAAACAAGATAGCAGTGTAAGTGTGAAATGTCTTACAGAAGAGTATGGTATTGGAATGAGCACCATATATGACCTGAAGAAAAACGATGCTAAACTTTTGATGTTTTAGGCTGAACATGATGAACAGAAGTTAGTGAATTTTTTAAAAAAGTATAAACTTAAAAATCAAATGAAGATCTTTATTGTATTTTGAAAGAATGGATCCATGATCACTGCAGTGAACACATGCCACTTATGCAGATCATGAAACAAAGAAAGATCTATCACAATGAACTGAAAATTGAAAAGAACTAGAATATTCAGCAAGCTAGTTTCAGAGATGTAGAAAAAGACACAACATTATACCGTTGAAATTTGTGGTCATACCATATGTTTATTGCAGCGCTATTCACAATAGCGAAGACTTGGAACCAACTCAAATGTCCATCAATGATAGACTGCATTGAGAAAATGTGGCACATATACACCATGGAATACTATGCAGCCATAAAAAAGGATGAGTTCATGTCCTTTGTCTGTCTCTTATACACATCTAGATGTGTATAAGAGACTGGTCTGAAGGTGTGCAGGTGCCCTCTGTGCCTATTCAGCAGTTCCCTACTGAAGACTGGAGTGCTCAGCCTGCCACGGAAGACTGGTCTGCAGCTCCCACTGCTCAGGCCACTGAATGGGTAGGAGCAACCACTGAATGGTCTTAAGCTGTTCCTGCATGGGCTCTTAAGCAACATGGAAAAATGGTTGATTGAAAATAAACATCAGTTTAAAAAACAAAAAAGGATGTCTTTTTTTTTTTTTTCCAAACACTTCTGCATTTATTGAAGTGGTCACATACTTTTGTCTTTCATTCTTTTAATGTGGTTTATTATATTTATTCATTTGTATACATTGTACCATCCTTGCAACCCTTGGATGAATGTCACTTGATCATCATGAATAACCTTTTTAGTGTAATGTTGAATTTGGTTTGCTAGTGCTTTTTGAGGATTTTTGCATCTATGTTCATCAGAGATATTACCCTACACTCCCGTTTTCTTTTAGTGCTTTGTCCTTGTCTGGTTTTGGTATTAGGGTAATGCTGGCCCCATACAATGAGTTTGAAAGAATTCCATCCTGTCCACCTGGCCCCATAGAATGAGCTTCGGTGAATTCCATTCTGTACAATTTTTTTGAAATAGTTTGAAAAGAATGAATAATAATTTTTATTTAAATATATAGGAAAAATCAGCAGTGATGCCATTAGGTACTGGGTTTTTCTTTTATGGAAAACGTTTTATCACTGATTCAATCTTGTTAGGGTTTTCTATTTCTTCATTATTCAAATTTGGTAGGTTGTTTGTTTCCAAGAACTTATCTGTTTCTTCTAGGCTTTCCGTTTTCTTGGTGTATCTTTGTTCAAAATCGTCTCTAATGATTCTTAATATTTCTGTGGTAACAGTTGTAATATCAACTTTTTCATCTCTGGCTTTATTTGGTTCCTTTTTTTAATTTTAGCTACTCTAGCTAAAAGTTTGTCAATTGTGTTTACCTTTTAAAAAATCCACCTCTCTGTTTTGTTGACTTTTTACTCTTTATTTTGTTTATTTCTGAGCCAATCTTTATAATTTCTTTCATTCTTCTAATTTGGATTTCTCTTTGCTCTTGTATTTTTAGTTAACTGAAGTGTAATATTGAGTTTTTTATTTGAAACCATTATTTATTTTTTGATGTAAATGTTTATTGGTATAAAGTAGTCTCTTTAAACTTCTTTTGCTATATTCTATAGGCTTCAGTATGTTTTGTTTCTATTTCCATTTGTCTCAAACATTTTAATTTCTGTTTTAATTATTTCTGTTGATCACTTGCTTGTTCAACAGCATGATTAATTTTCATGTATTTGTAAAATGTTCAAGATTTCTTCTATTATTGATTTCTAGTTTCATAGAACTGTGGTTGGAAGATATTTGATATGATTTAAATCTTAGATTTGTTCATATTTGTTTTATAGCCTTATATAATCTAACCGAAAGAAAGTTTCATGTGGATTTGAGAAAAAACTGTATTCAGTAGCTGTGGCATAGAATATTCTGTACATGTCTATTAGGTCCATTTGGTCTCAAGTACAGTTTAAATACATTTTTTTCTTAATTTTTTATTAAATTAGGTAGGAAATTACATGGGTAATGTAAAATTGTCCTTCATACCCTGTTTAATGCATCTTTTATTATTATTATACTGAAATGAGGTACTATAATCTTTCACCTAAGTTCCTGAGTTCTTGTGGTGGTTTTTTGTGTGTGGATAGTTGTTCAAATTAATATCTTTGTTGGAGGATAATCCCTGGAGAGTTCTACTCTACCATCCTGTCCTGCCCTCTCATTACATAATCAACTCTTTAAATAACTTAATTAGCAAAAACCACAAATATGTGAGATAAAGAAATGAAAATTGGGAAATAATTAAATAAACTGATAAAATTGAAACTATAAGAAACTAATATTTTCACCTCTATGGTAAGAAATGTGAAAAATTGGATGAAATAGATAATTTTCTAGAAAAATGTGCTTTACCAAAAATGACCATAAAATACATGGAATATCTCAGCAGACTAATTTGCACAGAATAATTTGAGAAAATTATCCAAAAGATCACCCCACCTCACATAAACAGAAACAAAAAGACTCAGGTAAAGGTTTATCTGGAAGATTCCATCTAACTTTAAAAAACAAACAAACAAAAAACAGTTTACTTCAGAGATGGGAGAGGAATAGCATTAGGAGAAATACCTGATGTAAATGACGAGTTGATGGGTGCAGCAAACCAATGTGGCACATGTATGCCTATGTAACAAACCTGCACATTGTGCACATGTACCCTAGAACTTAAAGTATAATAAAAATAATAATAATAATAGAGTGTAGACATGTAAGGACATTCCCTATAGTAATAAAAAAATCTCTGGAAAAAAAATGCTTCAGAGCATGGAAATAAATAGAGCCTAAACCTATTTATTTTTCATGAAGCTACTTAAGACTCATAGAAAATTTCAAACAACAGCACAAAAAATAAAACTTTAAACCAATCTCATTTAGAAAAATAGATGTAAAACTCAACCTAAAATATTAGTAATTCAACAGCACATTAAAAAAGCAAATCCATATTGACTACGATTTGTTTCAGGAATACAAAGACAGTATGGTAATAAGATACCTGATAATTTAACTCATTATCATAGCAGAAGAAAAATTTTTGATTGACTCTATAGATGCCGAAAAGCATATTGCAAAATTCAACAATTTCTTGATTTGTAAAAATAGTTCATAAAATAAGAATGCATGGATATTTTCTTAAGCTAATAAAATTCTCACCCCAAAAGCAGCATTATGCTTAATAAGTAAATAATAGATCCATTCACGTTAAAATCAAAAAGTAGATGAGAATGTTCACAATTATTCTTATTATTTGATGCTAACTTGGAAATACTAGCTAAAGCAATTAGACCTCTGAAAGAAATTAGATATAAATTGCAGAGAGGGATGTGAAACTATCCCTATTTGCAAGTGATAAGATTGTATTTATAGAAAATCCAAGTAGATCAAATGAAAAAGTAATTAAAAGCAGTGAATCAGTGAGGTGCAAAATAATACACAGAAATTAATAACTTTGATATGACTGCATAACCACCAACATGGTTATTATTGAAATGGAATAGAGAGTGTGATGGAAGAAGTCACACCTTAACAATAGCAATTAAACAGACTAAATATGTAAGATGTGTTAACACTAATAGGCAAGTTTTATATAAAGAGAAAACTGTAAAAGCACTCAAGAAGGACAAAAAAGAAGAAAAGCAATATATACTATCCTACATATAAATGATCAAAAACATAATGGTATTAATCCTCCATAAACTAGTCTGTAAATTTAATACAAACCCAATAAAAACACTAACAGTGTTTTATGGGAAGTTAGAAAAACTGATTGTCATGCCTGTAGAGAAAAATAAACAAGTATATATAAGACATTCTGAAAGAGTACTAAAAAGGGAATAATTATATGAGGATTTGAAAAATATAAAACTGTAATAAGTGAGACCCATTATAGAAAAAAGAATTGGAAGTTTCCTCAGAAAACTAAAAATAGAATTACCATAGAATCCAGAAATCCCACTTCCGGATATACATTTTGAACATCTCTAATCCAGAAATTCAATATCCATTCAGTATGGCTGTGATTTTTGTCATATACCCAAAGGATTATAAATCATGCTACTATAAAGACTCATGCACACGTATGTTGATTGCGGCACTATTCACAATAGCAAAGACTTGGAACCAACCCAAATGTCCAACAATGATAGACTGGATTAAGAAAATGTGGCACATATACACCACGGAACACCATGCAGCCATGAAAAAGGATGAGTTCATGTCCTTTGTAGTGACATGGGTGAAGCTAGAAACCATCCTTCCGAGCAAACTATCGCAAGGACAGAAAACCGCATGTTCTCACTCATAGGTAGGAATTGAACAGTGAGAACCCTTGGACACAGGGCGGGGAACATCACACACTGGGGCCTGTCGTGCGGAGGGGGCATTGGGGAAGGATAGCATTAGGAGAAATACCTAATGTAAATGACGTGTTAATGGGTGCAGCAAACCAACACGACACATGTATACATATGTAACAAACCTGCACGTTGTGCATATGTACCCTAGAACTTAAAGTACAATAATAATAAAAAAAAAATTCAATATCCAAAATACTCCCAAATTGGAGTTCTGAGATGATGTCACAAGTGAAAAAGTTCACATCTGACTTCATGTGACAGGTTGCAGTCAAAACAGGTACACAAGACATAGGTTATTTAGTACCCCCAAGGGAAAAAAGATTTTCCCAGCTTCTCTCAGCTGTAGTATGTCTTTTCTGTGCATGCCCAGATTCCTACAAACAAACATGCCCACAAAATGCAATAAAATTGTGTATGTGTAGGCTAGATGCACCAACAAGAGGTTTCCCATGATGCCC